ATCATAATATGTTATTTATAAATATATAACATATTTATTATTATTTATCACAAAATATTCAATTTTTTTTGGGGGTTTTACACTAAGTATAGTGAGAAAGTTCCTTACGTATAAAATTCAACGAAAAGTAAAATAATAGGCTAAGAATATCCCCACCCAACTCAGATAAAGACACACTAAAAATTTGTCAAAACGCTTCAAATCACCACACGCATCGCCCTCAGCCACCATGTGTACCTTGCAAACCTATTGACCACTAAAAAATAATAATATTTATAATATTCACTCTAAAAATAGTATTATAGAGAGAGCATCAAAACAACTAGTAGAGCCACCGACTACTAAAACTCATCAAATTCAACTCTTCTACTGGGATAGCTAGCTAAATTCCTTCTCAAAAGAGAACAAAGAAGCAAGATGATGATGGTGTTAGCAAAATCTCATTCATTCTCTTCTCCAAGAGATTTCTTTATCTTTTACTTTATCCTCTGCATCTTGTTGCTTTCAACTGAGAGATCCTCTGCTCAAAACAAAACTGACCCTGCTGAAGGTACATACTATACATCGCTTTCTCTAGCTTTACTTTTGAGCTCAAGCTGATATTATACTATTACAAACCTCTTTGTGGAAATATATGTGGGTTTTAGAGTATAATCCCTCGGTCTAATCTCTTTGTGAGGATTAAGAAAGATTTTGGTCATCTCTACTAATAAAAGAACTTCAAATCGGTTCATATAAGAATATGCATATGATTTATATGAGAATATGCTTATGATAAATCACAAATAAATAGGTATTGATTTTATCCTTTTTATACTCTTTTCCTCTTTTCTTTCTCATCGATCCTCGAAAGTTTGTCACAGTTGTGCTGGAACTAGCTGGATAAGGATGAAGCCAGGTCATGTAGTTGACTTGTTTTCTTTTTTGAGAAATGGTTGAATTGGTTTCTAGATATAAATCGCTAGGGAACATGGTATCATGGGAACATGGGATCTTGAAAATAAATTGCAGATTCCCATGAAGCGTTCCCACAGGAAAATCCATCGTCACATCCTCCAGGAAAAGGAGATGAAGGATTAAGCAGTGACACATACAACTGACAGCGAGACCTGATCCACCGTATTACCTGCCTCTTTAGAAAACTAAGAAAAACCCAGTAGCATGCATCAGACCTTCAAACAATGGATTCAATAAGAAGTCGGGAACATGGTACACTATAGCGAACTACGACCCGGCTTCAATCATCCTAGATTCGCGTGGAACACGACCCGATTCAACAACTCCAGTGACCAGATTTAGAATTCAACGAACAAAAGAAACAAAAACAAGTGCACAAACCCAGCACAATCTTTAAATTCGAAACAAAAACAAGCAAGCACACCCAATTGCATAACTACGACCTCATATACCAAAATTGAAATGAATTAATAGATATAACATTTGAATCAAGAGTTTGATCTAGATTGAACAAAGTAAGATTGATTAAACATGCACGCTACAATGTTGATACGTGCAACTGATCTTAAGAAAAAATTAAGATGAAAACCCTAATTTCTTCAACTCAAACATAAATCCCTAAGAATTAATCACGGTTGCTCTGATACCACTTGTTGTCCTATAAACTCTTTAATTCATACAATATAGATCTAGGGTTTACAACGAAAATCAAGAACAAACCCTAGAAATATAATTAAGGATCATGATTAATTCAAAGAGGAGATTAACAAGAAGAATTAACGAAAGCATACCTGAAATCCATGAAGAAATTCTGAATTACGGTTTGGGATCTTCTAATCTAAAGGGTCTCTCATGTTGTTTCTCTCTAGATGGGGATTAAGAAAACAGAGAATGTAATCCTTAGATTAGGGAACATAACCCCTTTATATAGATATTATAATTTTCTAATTTAGCCCCTCATAAAATTAGAATTGCAATCTGATATCTACACAATTTAGCCCATAATAAATTAAATACCCATTAACCCAATTAATTGATTGATCACTTTATGTGGGCTAACTTTAAAGATAGCATTACACAATAATTTAACATAAGTGCCCATAATTAGATTTAATCCAACTCAAAGATTTTAATGATATAACATAATTGCAGAATTAA